CATTGCATACACCTGTGGTCCGGAGTTTTGCAAATATCTTAGCATTTCATACGAGTTATATTTCGCAACATAACCTGCCATTAAGAAGAAAAAAAGGCAGTAAATAAAAGATTTAAGAATACGTTGACGGTCCAGTAGTGCCATTGGATGTCCAGAATATGAGCGAGTTTCACTGCATTGTCTTCCTCTAACTTGCTTTACTCAAAAAACTTTACCACCAATGGATTAATGCTTTTTCGAACATGTTGGATAACTAGCTTCGCGAGAAAACATTTGCCAGTCGTGTCTGCAAGATTCTTCCAACGCTTTACCGCCTCCAAAATGGATTAACTAGCAATTCTCCGAAAAAGTGGAGATTATGCTGGGACCCGCACAACCAGTGAGGATGGGCCATTCAAGTATCAAGTGTCAAGTAAGTCTCCAAAAGATTAACGGCGTCAGTTATCGAGGACTTTGTATGTGTTCACTGGAGAGGATTTGGGAATCTATTTTTCTCGAAATGTGGCTTTCTTCTCCCAGTAGTAATTTTATCTATCTTATACTCAAAAAAGAATCGACACTCTGTCTGGAGGAATGTTAGCTCTTCCTATTTACCGTTTTTTCGTATCACCTCGCTTCTAAATTACTCCATTCTAATCGAGTTATCCGTTCATTCTCATTAGTCTCGCCACTCCGTTTTCGTTCTATCATTTATGTAAATTTTAATTACTCAGGTTCACACAGTGGAAGCATGCGAAGTCCTACGTGACCGCATACACTACGAACTCACTGTTGCTCTGCTAGTGCCTAGCTCTTTGTCAAACTCTTCAGATGTCGTGCACAGATCTGCTTTAATTCAAGTCTTTACGTGGTGGTCGTTAATGGCATCGATTCACTTTCGATTATTTCCGTATCTCCGTCTTCAGAACGTGTTTCTGTCATGAAATTTGTGAAACTGGAGTTGCACCGTACAACCCCATAAAACTCAAACAATTGTGGGAAACATCTACTAAATACCGCTTACGGATCCAACTGATAAAGTCGAAACCTATTGGAGTGCATGTTGAATCCCTCCATAATTCACTGTTTTTCTTGATGAGCAAGTACGAGATTGTTATTATTTATGTATTTATTAATACACAGTAGCCAACACCTCGGCGGTTTCGCCTTTTTCAGAGCCCATTATTCCCCTCCAAAGGCGGTCCTCCAAATACAGAGCACAGTAGCATTCCTTCCACTCGCACTTCTTCAGTTGAGCATATATTTTGTCCTGCTTACGTCGAAGAAAGGCGCGTAATAGTTGCACTTCAATGTCCAGTATCTGGTGGCTGTCCTCTAGTACACCGCATACAACATGCAGTCGTTTTCGTTTGATGAAGTTCGCACGACTCGGTGTTTTATACAGTGGCATAGAAATAGTGTCGTTTATCTAGCTAAGACAATATTCTGTCTTAGTGACATGACCTTTCCACAATTACTTATAATGTCAGTCGAGTGTGCCCCGAATAACGCAATACAGTGATAAACTATTGATTTATACAACTACAATGATGTTGAGATATTTGCAAAACTTCGGACCGCAGGTGTCTGTGGCGCGAATCGAACCTCGCTATTACCCTCAAGCTTCAGTTTAACAGGGTTCAAGGCCAGTTTATGCTCTCCAGAACAATCCCGTTGACGGTCAGTTGCTGATAGCGCCTATAAAACACGGCTGAGAGAAAGGCGAAACGAAGGACACGCATGATGTAGTGGTTAAGACGTTACTCCCCTGAAAGGGTAATAGCGAGGTTCGATCCCAGTCACAGACATATGCGATCCGGAGCTTTGCAAATATCTCAGCACCATTGTAGTTGTATTTCGCACCATATCCTGCCACGAAAAAAGAATAGGTAGCAAATAAAAAAAAGTTACATTATTTATGTGCACTTGGTAGGTCGACACTAAATGTCTGAACAATCACGTTTTCATACATTCAAAGTCGAGGTGTCGGGGATGAACTGGTCTGAAAACAGGACGATTAGAAGAATGAAGCAACAAAAACACTACTTGAGCCGCCGGCAAACATCCGCTGGAAACGCAAGTGCACAATTTGTGCACTCGTTCACCGTTCACCTCTAGCAAGAATGAATCGAGTGGAAGAAGTGCTCTAATTCGAACAATATTTGAACACGAATTATAGAAAAAGAATAGGAAATAAAGTACCAATTTATTGATGAAGTGTCCCATTTTCTTTAATTCCGTGATCCCACAACTCTTATTCAGTCTGCGTTCGTACCGGGGAAATAGCTCTCTATTTTTCCGCCTTCAATTCTTACGTCTCTATAAACTCATTTCTAATCGCTTCCACGTTTGGGTCACCTCGGTATTTCGTAATCGAATGGCGGCCATCGTTTTTCGGAAAGACGACTAAGCGCGATGAACCCTTCCAAGGTTCTTTACCAACACAATGGGAACTACCACGAAACATCAGCGAATCTGTTGTAGATGGAAGTAGACATTGTCATTGTGAAGAGCGAAGTGAAACGGGATTCACTTATTCTCAAAATACCTGTCAAGAAAAGGGAAGCAAGAGCAGTCTTCGTAGAATAGTTTTTTCTCAAATTTCGAACAGTAACCCGCTTACGAATCGACCAACTTGTTTCTAAGGTGACGTAGAAAACAATCTTTGAGCGACTTGATAAATTTAGTTTAAGGGTTTCAGAATACTAAGAAAACAGTTACAAATACACTCATTGCATTTTTATTCGGACTAGTTCGAATCTCATTTTGACGAGTTCATGGATGCTTTGAAAAAAACATCTTGATGAATGGCTTTCACACTGCGGCTATTAGGTACGTTTTAATAACATTCCGAAGATGATCAGAAAATACCTGTTGTATTTTCTTCTATAAACAGGTTATAAATTGCGGGTAGTGTGGTACCCACAACGCTTAGGAAATTTTGGAGCGACAATTGCATGCTGACAAATTGACACAATTGAATGACAAGCTGGGAAGTTGGTTAGTGGGATAAACATTCCAGAATAATGTGTGTGTTAACAAATTGCGTTTATTTTTAACTGATTGCAGACCAGCACTCGAAGCTCTAGCAAGTCTGGATCTCAGCCATTAGTGGTTTCACGGAGGTATTCCTCGGATTTCTTTGTTTCATCTATCTTATTTTGTAGCTCTCCACGGGCTTTTCCCAATTGTGAAATCTCGAACCAATTCGCATCAGGCTGTCACCAAAGTGACGGAAAACGCGTTAGACCCGAACCAAAAACGACTATGCATTCATTGTGAGGAGGTGAATTTAGAAATAAGGACTCCGATCCTGGATATGGCACGTAGGCGGATTGTATTCTTTACCTCAATTTGGCGAAAAATCTGTAGACTGACTACAAAGCACAAATAGGGTGGAGGTAGGCGTTTTGAAACAGATACGGTCGTCGATTAATCCATAATAGTTCGTAAGCCGCTTGCGAATGTACTAGGTATCCAGCAGGGTATGTAGCGAGCCATCGACGAGTATCTCTCGCAAAAATAGTCCGACAAAAACTCTCCAACAAAAACGTGGTGCTTTTCGTGCCCTTAAGCGAGCAAATACCAATTTTCCGCTATTACTCGCGATCTAGGTTTGTACTCCTATAATGCAATCAAACGCTCATGTTATACTTGCAAATATCCACCTTTTACTGCTCGTTAAGCACCTAAGAACGCTTTACTTGAAGATGAGACAACAGAATGCAATCCCCCGTGCGATTGGAGTTTTTGACGACACGACAGCGTGTCGTAACGGCTGTTGCGTGCGAGTTACACAGAGGACCCAAAGCAGCGAGTAGCAAGCGCTCAGCTGTCATGTGTCGCTCGTCGCCACCGCCGAAGTGCGGGATACCCTCGCTCGCTTCGTGGAGCGCCGACATCTATCCGATCATCCTCAAAGAAACAACGCAGCTCGTGCTGACGTCTAACAGGCCATTGCAGATTGAGTACGTTATAGCCGAAAATAGCCGAGTTCCTCAAAGAGCTCAACCTGACTCCACCTCTACTCATCTAAGAAAACCACCATAAGTAAAACGTATGGTCAGAAACTAGTTCTCATTCAAAGTATAGTACTCGGTTCTTTCAACATAGAACATCCTTTCCACTTTTTGATCACATGTTCACAATTTTTTCCTCCATAATCTTTTTAAAACACAATTTTTAGAAAACAACCTCAAACAGACCTGTAAACGACCGCTCGTAAACTCCTTCGTTACTAAAAAGTGGAGATAACACAGTCTAAATGACGGTTGAGAGTCCTTTATAGGATACTTTCTACGGACCAGAATTTTGGACTGACGACCACACTACTCGTGGTCGATGAAAACTAACCAACCAGAGCTCATAAAATCAGTTCTACAACGGACTATGCCATTTGAAAGATCCCAAAAAAATTGCCAGAATCCTGCTTCTTTAACGATCAGAGAGAAAAAGTGTGATCGAAAACTATGATCTATCACTTTTACTTTGTTCGCTCAACATTTTACACAGAAGCTTACGTTACAGACGAATCAATGGGGACTGCGACAGTGTTTCAATACAATCACAACGGAAGTTCAAATTAGACTCCGGCTGCAGCACAATGTCTCCATGCTGTGTGCGTTACTGAACTGAAGCGAAAAGAGCTGAGGATATTCAAGACGTAGGACATAAGCGTACAGGACTTGCAGCTAGAGCCAACAGCGATCGCAGTGTGTGTGCGAAAAAAGACGTCAAAATTCGAAAGGAATTCGGGCAACAATGATGGTATGGACACCGGTAGGAGATATATCCACATTTATGTACAACTCTCCTCACCGATATTGACGGTAATCTAGCAACAGACAAGGAGCAATGAGAAATGAACGAATCATGCCGAAGACAAAAAACAAAACAAAACAAAAAAAAACAAGTGCGAGAGTGTGATCGTTCAGTTCAACCAATGTCTCATCGTAATTATATGCAGTTGTCGGCTATCACACTATCGCCGCCACTATGTAACATCAAAAGTAGTGACACGTAAAGATGGCGACTATGTAAGCAACCCTGGATGTCGACTAGCGTCAAGTCTCATGACGTTCAGTGCAGGAAGTCGACACTGGTCAGGTACACAATCACCATCGTAGCGAATCTCCACCAGTGACTTCTAACTGTCAGCAGCATCATGCCGCAGAGGAATAATTCTTTCTCTGTGCAATACGTTTGCCTAGAGAGCGACAAACACTAAAAGAAGTAAGAGACGCAAAATAATGCATGAGAGTCACAGAAGCGAGTGGATTCCTTCGTTTACTGCAATGAACAGCAACCGCACTTCTTCTTGTTCACATGTACCAATTCCACCTTGTTTGCCGGCGGAAGATCATCGACAAGAACTGCGTCTGTTGAACTGAAACGAACTCAATGTTAATAACGCTCGTCAAACGCTTTTGTTTCGCAAGTAAAACAGTTCAAAGAACTGCCGCAATACTGTAGACGCAAGCTCACAGTATCAGATCCACAAGCATAAGCCAGATTCGCTGTTCTTCAATGCCGAAGTTAATAGAGAGTCGGTCTTGGGAGAAGCCAGATTCTTCTGACGCACTGCAGAAAATGCATGTTTTTCAACTTTTGTTGTAAAGAAGGCAGAATTGTGACGGCTGTCTTGCTAGCTGCGAACATGGCATGCGTGGGAAGAACGGAAAGCGAGCAACGAAACAAGTCATGTAGGTCCACGTATATGAGCCATAAACGGCTCATCAAGCCCTTAGCGCGTTCTGAATAGAGCCTCCTGCACATTCGGGATAGTGTAAAACGTTCTATGGAACTATACAAACAAAATGATCAAAACGTTTCGATTCTGAACCCTTTCCACTTTTCACAACTATTTGTTCTTTTTTCAGTACTTAAACGAGTAATATCACCACTAAACGAATTCTCTTAATGAGACACAAATGCGGAAGTAGTAGGAATTTTTCACGTTTTGTGAAGAAGTCTAATGTTATTTCTAAACGACGAGTAGTCGTTTCCTCTTATTTGAGATGAAATTGTTTTCCTACGCCTATCTTCGTCCTGAGGCAAAACAGCACAGATTTTGTCTTCATTAGTTGAGCTGAGTGTTCTCCTTTTGCCAATTCCCAAGTTTATGCAATATGGTTAAATATTCCAATTCTAGGTAAATATTCTTTTCTTACGATTATTAGAACGATAACCTCTGAAATCTCTATCCGAGCCTACTATGCTGTTGTCATGCTCTGACTTCAAAACGATTTAGCAAAAAAACTCGTACTTTTGCACAGCACTTGGATGTCGCTGATCAGGGGAAAGGAGTGGTAACGTTTGTGCCTTCTCATTGTCTATCAACTGCTCCTTCGATAAACCGTTTTGTAAGTACGGCGGTGGGGATAAGGGCCTGAAAAACGAACTGTCATACTCGACTCCATTGCGCCGAAAATTTTTTGACGTAAACCTATAAATGAATGGATACGAACCAGGCGGTTACGCAAATACCAATGCTTCTCGTCCGTAACAAAAACACATGTACGCACGTGTGCCACCAATAATCACAACCAAAGGATATAGATCTAACCACGTAGTGCAGTGGTCAGTAGTGCCCTGCAACACACAAGAGGTCCTTGGTTAGACCCCGTACCCCAGGCTCACCGATTCTTCCATCCCACCGGCATCGACAATTTGTTAGCAGGATTGAATGACAGGATAGCATCCCTGACTTGACACATCGGTAGGCCACCGCAAGTCAGTGTACAGCCCAGATATGAATTTAATCACCTTTAACGATGCTTGATGAATTCGATAACTATTGGTGCACACTTTCTTCCTTTTATATGTCTACTTCACAATGAACGACATGCACACAGAAATCAGTAAGCCTCACCCATCTTTCTGCTGCTTTATGGGTGTAGTTTGGGGGCTAACCGGTCTACTTGGTGGGAACGGCTTGTGCATGTACTGCTCGACGATCGGATCCACTTCATGATACAACACTTCTTCTGGTCGAAAAGGATTCTCGTGTTCCGCCATTTTGCTGAAAAATTCGCGCTGTTTAAGCGATTAAAGCCTCTCACAACCAATCCTTTTGGTTTTTTGTACTTTTTCCTCTAAAAACTTCAATTTCTTGTTTCAACTTCTACACTTCGCTTGGGAACCACAACGAATTTAAACTACGAATTCTACGAATTTAAACTCACTTTGAATGGACTGAAGGACTGACCGTCCCCCTGTATACTTCTTCTATTTGATTTGGAGGTGAAATAGGACTCGGCGACTCAGGAAGCACAAGATCTGACGTCACCGTCACTCGATTCACCGGCGCGTCTGGGCTGCAGTAATACAACTAACTATCTGAGCGATTTTCGCTTCTCCAATATCAATTTCTTCGATATTTTCACACTTATCATGCAAGGAGAATTGGTAACATGGACAAGGTGGGAAGAAAATGGCATCGCCGAAAAACGTTACGAATTACGTTGATACCAAAACCTATATTCATAGAAATGACGGCAGTAATAAAGCGGAAAACGTTGGCGAGAAAAATCAATGGACCGCTGGATATGTCCGGGACACTGGATGTAACCAGCTGCGAGAATGAAACACAATTAATGAGGGAATCTCGCAACCAACAACGGACAAGCCGTGAGAAAAGCCAGATTGGGCGTCTCAGGTGGCAAAGTGGACGAGTCGGCCAAATCTGCCAGGGAAGCCAAGGCTGCTACTCCATTTCCGACTGGAGCAGGAATAAAACTCATAGCAATAATGAGTTCTGTCCAGAGTAAAGGAATATTCATCGAGTGAACATTAGAGATGGAAACCAGACAAATTAAAAGTTTCCCAACCTTGCGCCATGATTTTATTGACAGTCTATTGTCTCACAAAAGAAAACATGTTTTATCACGGTTATAATAGATTTCTCACGACTGAAACATGTGTTTCACGTGCTTTTTGCAAATCGTGACAATTTTTTCACAATTTCGAGTTCCTTTTCACTACACAATATTTTTGAGGTGTGAGAAAGTGTCTTGCATTGTTCAACACGGCCAGAGGAGTTAACCCGTCCCAGATGTGTGGCCTATTCACCTCCTCATACAGTCTCAGAGAAACCGAGAACAAATCGGCAATTTTTCTGACGTTAGCTCACTCTTCCACGCTCCAATAAACTGACCCTGACAAAAAAAATCCCACATAGTTTCCGTTCATCGTGATAGATCCGGGTTCATTTCTCGGGGAAACCGAGAAAAGAGCCCTCTAAGTAACATCCGACCGGAGCCGACCGAAGAAAGTCTTGGAAGCAACGCAGCGAGAAAGCAGGCATTCAGGTACGACGTTCACGCATCCGGATGACTACTGTGGATCTGTGCAGAACAGAACACAAGAGATTTCTTAAATACAGAAGTACTGGATGTCTTAGCGGTGGAATGGCGACTTCAACAATAACAGAATAGGCATTTCACTAAACAGCTAGGCCAGTGAGCGCACTTTGCCGCAGCCAAAGGCAAGCTAAGGGCTCGATGGCTCATAAAAGCTAGCTCTGAACTTTATCCACGATCGATTTTAGCGCGACATTGATTGTTGGATACGTCTAATTACACAAACTGTTTTCTATTCTACGGCTCTTCAGCTTCCAAAGAACGTTTCGAGAAATTACGTACTTGTTAAAAATGACGTTCTTCTATTTTGCTGCACGCATCCCAAAGAGTTATACGTGTGCCGAAAAAAAGGGATTAATTATCATATAATGCGATAAACAATAGAGCGATGAGTGGAAGGTCCATTGACGAGAACATCGAAACGGACGCGTGCGGCTTCACGAACAAACAAACAAACAGACAAACAAACAAACAAACAAACATAACACCAAAGCGACTGTCAAGCAAATGACGAGAAGGAATTCGCAAATGCGTCGTAGGGGGACATACGGAAGTGGGTGTGTGTGGTAAATGACGACAAAGGAGTAAGCGCTGAGGGAAGGGAAGGAAACTGACGAGAAGCCGTAGATGACCGGGCCGATCAAATGGAGCCCGCTGGTGGCTTGACTCGGCAGCGGCCGGCTTGAGGCCGACCCTCAGCCGGCCGATCAATATCCCTCGCAACCCTCCACCAATCAAAACTTGTTCGTCACCGGCATCCACGCGCATGGATATGCATACGGATTCTCAGAGCACTGTAACCATTCTGGAACCGCCGCATCCTGTAACCTGTGGAAGCGCGTCCACATGCCAAAGGTCCATATGGATAGTAGAATCGCCGTCGGCAAACCCATCCACCATCGCCGAATCGATTCGCATCGCCTAATTTTGCACGTGCAGCTTCGTTCTAAAGGCACTCGGTACTAACGGAAAGAGAGTGATACAGAAAGAAGCGTTACAATGGTTCCTTATATCTTTTACAGCCAAGAAAGCGACAACGGCAACAACAGTGTGAGCCAAAGAAGGGATGGATGAACGGAACAGATTACCGATTCATTACAAAACTACTCCACTGATTAGACCAGCGCTAGAAACGTGTCACGACATTCGAGTGATGGGAGCCTAAGGCCCACCACTGGAAGGCGGCTCATGTGTAGGTTGCAGTTCTCTGTGCCTGCAACTTCTTTCTCGGTGGTTTCCGAGTTGCATTATTTATATAACCTCCCACACTACAGCAATGTGTGTGAGCGACTCTTGAGTCTCTTTCTATTACACGATAGAGCTAAACAGACTGCCTCACGATTATAGTCATTCTGCGATTACTACAATACGGTGTAGTATGGCCGGATAGCCCAGTGAATCGCTAGGTGCCGTTCGGCTCATCACTGGGCACTACATTGTTCTACAGACTACATGTCCATTCAATTTGATAGAACAAAGAAGTAGGCTGAGCAAACAGCAGTAGAAATAATGCTAGTATATAGCCTTAGCTGCACATTTTGCCCATAAATTCCTCTGAGCTCTTTTCAAAATGCTATTGATTACGAATTCCATGGGACGGATAGCACAGTGGTAGTGATGTCCGTCATTACGAGCATTGTACTAGTTCGATTTCACTCCGGGTAAACCAAGCCTCTCATCTCTCCGGGGTCAGGAAATTGGTACCGGACTTGTCTGAGAAAAAATCACTCTCTGCAATCCAATTGAGAACGCTCTAGTCCGGCTATCTCAGGACTCTAAGGGGAACTGCTCGACGAGCATTCTACGGTATTCAAGATGAAATGAAAATCTTCAAGCAGCAACCGAAGCTACATGTAGAAACTTGGAAGGCTTTCGTGGACAATGTATGCGAGGAAACGAACTACATGTGAGAAGTGCGGGAGTCCGCATAGTAGACGTGAAGACGGATCAAATAAAATAAAATTAAATAATAAATTTAATTACGAATCTCTTGAGGAAACTCTGAAGCAAATCCTGTGCAGGACTCAATGAAAAGAGCTGACGTCTGCACTCTCCTGATTTGGAATGCACCCTTTGTTCACACGAGCACATATAAGTTCTTGTCTATGTTCTGTCTCGAATGCAATAGTCAACTATCGCAGGCAAAGTACTATCGTGAAATCGGTGTGCAGACAACATAAAGCAGCGAATTCTGCATACATTAGATTTGTTTGTTTCTTATCAAACAAAGTGATCGGGAACTGCTAAGATATAATTTAATGGAAAAACTTCAGTGTGTTTCGACGAGAAGAAGCGATTATGGAGAGGTTAGTGGTCCCTCTAGAAATGAAGCTCGACCGACTGAGCTTGATCTGCCTCAACCAACCACCGACAATTGAGTCACGCGACATGCAAAACAACTAGTTATGAACGGCAGATTTTCTGCCCAAATGAAGAACTCAACAGCAGCACAAAGAGCAAGCACACTGGTCGGCAAAGAGGAAAGACGATGACATTCCGAAACGTCATGAGAACAGAAGCCGTCCGAAACACATCGATGACGCAGGAATTGTGTTGACTAGGAATATGCAAACGCGGAAAACGTACAGTACGTTAGGCATCATCGAAACAATGGAAATGGCAGCTATACATTTCAAGTGAAAGGCCGAGTGCTGCGACGTTGAACTGGGATTAGAATGTGGATGGAAGAATCGCTCTAATGCAACATTTTATTCGAGCGATGATCTTTATAATAAACGAAATAATCACTTAGTCGGTGATCTGTGGAAAATCCATTCCTTTTCCCAATCTTCCAGATGTGTGCGCTATCCACCGCCTTTCCAGAATGTCAGTGCGTGGCAATTGCTCGCCGATTCTAGCGGTAGATTATAGCAGGTCGCACACTTGTCAGGTATTATGGCGCACTGCCAAAACGTTCGATGAAAACAAAACACGTGTTCTGCTGACGGTTCGATGTTGTCATCGAAAGCTTCCCAGTCGCAGCGTGACCTATCAAACCCGTTAGTGCCTTATAAAATTCGGAAGTCGTCAACGGTTTCTGTAGATGCCTGTCAACTCGCTACGCATAAGACCGACCAAAAACTTAGGAAAATTTAGGAAAAATCGAACTTTGTAACATGCAGGAAAAATGTGCGACATTTCCTTTTCAACTACACCGAAGCCACTCAAATTCTGTAGAACACGAGAAAAGCTGTGATTACCGACCAGCTACAATTTAGAATGTTTTCAGGAGAAACGTACGGCTGAGTTGGAAGTATGTCTAATTGCCGACTCTAAACAATAGTGCGACGCGTCATGTTCCCAGAGAGTTGTTCCCTCACTAACTTGTTAGATGACGACTAACATACGACAGTGACCGATTGGCAACCCCGTCTGTGGCTCAGGCCATCCAGCGAGTGCTTTGCGATTCAGATGGGTAGGTGAAGTTGCGGTATAAAGAACCAAGGAGATCGAAGGGTAGGGCGATAGCGAGTATTCAAGTCATTCATTCCAATGGACTAAGCTGAGAAAGCCATTTAACTTACATACATCATCCTTATTATTCTATGCACTGAGAGTCAAATGCCAGTGGGCCACAGCACCTAGGCTTTCGCTTCGGGAAGAGTTGGTAGTAGGACCATGACAACCATCAGAAACCTGTTCTGTTTCTACCTTACAGTAGATTTATACTCTAAAAGATGAAAAAAAAAGAGAAACAAAGAACAATTAAACCGATTAATATCACCAAGTTATCGTGAAAAGAAAAAATCTGAGATAAATGACCCTGCATTGCTTCACCACGAAGAGGAAGAATCATGGAATTACAGCCAATGTATCATGGAACTAAATGTTGCGATAAATTTCTAGCGTCCCAAAATATTACAATCCAAAACTTCAAACTATTGCAGTTGTAAAACTCTGGACCGCAGGTGTCTATGGTGGGGAACGAACGCGCTATTTTCCTTTCCGGGGAGTAACACGTTCACCACTA